CCGCGCGACCACCCAGCTGGACCCCTTCAACGGCCGCCTGCTGCGCCAGCACATGGCCTGCGCAGCCGCGGAGCTGCCGCTGCTGCAGGAGCTGGACGCGCCCCTCTTTGGCGGCACGAACGAGGTCGGCGCGCCGCCGCGCATCCTGCTGCATGCGTTGGCAAGGCTGGGGTAGGGGGCAACGCAGAATATGGAGTCATCTCCCTGGTTATTCCGGCAGCCATCAAAGGCACTTGCTGTCACGCCACTGCCCAAACCCACAACCTCCCTTGCCGATTTGTCTGTGCCCCTCTTGTCGGCTCCCAACCCGGCCCTCCCCTCATCAGCTGTTCCAGGCGGCCGCATCAGACCTCACAGCGGCCGGCCTCCTCTGCCGCCACGCGCGTGCCGACGGCGGCGACGGCGGCCGGGCGGTGGTGTCACCTGCGCCTCCGCCATCATTCGGCATGGGGACGGTTGCGTCACCCGCGCCGGCGGCGCAGGCGGGTCTGGCGGCGTCGCTGCACTACTCCGGTCAGGGGCGCAGCCCCGCGGGGCGCATCGGACTGCGTGCCATTGACCCGGAGCGCTACGTGATATTCGACGTGTCCACCAGCCGCGTCCTGGAGGAGGTGGAGGCCAACAAGGTGGGGGCCCAGGGGGGGGGGCAGCGGGGTGTTCGGACCATCACAATCAGAATGAGTACCGGGTTGAGGGTGATCGAGGGGGTTGCCCCATTGGGGAGCGTAGAGTCTGCATGCGCTCTTGTTGTGTATGGCTTGATGTGATGCCTTCTTTGATCCGCAGGCCACTCACCGTACTCTCGGCCACCATCGATGTAAGCACGGACACCCGCACCCCCCCGCCACCCCACACACACACGAACGCACGTGCGCGCGCGCACACCACACACACACACACACACACACACACACACACACACACACACACACACATGTATCTCGCCCTTCCTGTGCGACCTCCTGCCCCAAGGCATTCTACGTGGTCTATGATGGCGCGGTCTACCTGCACCAAGTGAGTCATGGGCCCTGGGGGCACCACGTTGGGGGCGAATGGTTGAAGTGTGGTTCTGAGCAATGAGGGTCCAGGAGAGCGCCGCGCGCTGCAGCACCCTCCGCCTGGGCCGGAAGGCTTCACCCCGTACCTTGAACCAGTGCTCAGCCCCTTCCCTGCCCTGCCTGTCAACACCCATCCCACCCTCTACTCCGCCACACAGTCTGCAAATCATGCACCTCCAATCACCGCCCTCCCCCCTGATCCCCCCCCTCCCAGCGCACCTCCTATGTGTGTGAGCTGCTGGACCTGGGGGAGAGGGTGGCCTACGTGAGGCCCACACGCGCCAAATACTACACCTCGGTGGGCGGGGCGGATACGAAGAGGGGTTGGGGGGCGACTTTGGGCGCCTGGTGACTGCGCGAGCCGGGGGCTGCGACCGACGGCCACCCGACTGAGTACGTCCTGGGGGGGGCTCACCCTCCCCCACAGCAGTGAGTCTCCTGAGTCATCACGCCTCTTGAGACTCTATCATCATGCCGTTGCAATTGTGGCCAACCCCCTTTACCCACCCACCCCCCAAAGGTGTCTGACGTCACCGACGTGCACGTGACCGGCTCCAAGGTGGCCTACCCGACGCCAAGGGAGGCCCTCGCCGCCATACAGGCACGGCGGGGGGGCATGGGCGGCGGCGGCGGGCCTGGAGGCGTTAAGACGGAAGCAGGGATGGGGGTGAAGAGTGAGGCGGGGGGAGAGGGTTTGGGGGTGAAAGTTGAGGTGAAGGATGAGGAGCAGCACGAGGGGCAGCAGGCAGCAGTGGTGCCAGGGTGGGCCGCCCAGCACCCCGCCAGCGGGGACGGCAGGGGCCTCACGGCGCCCTCCGATGGCGACGGCGGGAGCAGCAGCGGCGGCGACGGCGACGGCGACGGCGACGGCGACGGCGACGGCGGCGGTGACAGCAGCAGCAGCGGCGGCAGCGGTGGTGGTGGTGGTGGCAGCAGTGCGTGCTGTGAGTCGTGCTACGTGACAGTGAGGTTCCTGGGGTACCACACCGTGGCTCACGGCACCGGGGAGATCCTGGACAGCGTGCAGCTCTTCCTGCCGGACAGCCAGTGGGAGACGCAGGTGGGCGTTGTTCTGGGGCGCAGGGTGGAGGTTGGTGTATGGTGCTGAGTGCACACGCATGCACAGGCCTGCTTGTTGTTCACACTGACAGGATTACCCCGCTCCCTGAAACTAGACTGTTTACCTGATGTGCTGATTCTTTTTGCTGAAAGTAGGTTTAGAGGTTGAACCTCAACCATTTGCCGTGACCTCTTTCGCTCCACTGCACCGTCTTTGCTGGGCTGTGCACTAGCAAAGCTCCCTGACCCCCGTCGTCCCCTCGCTCCAAAGGCCTCCTACGTGCGGCTGCCCCCCACCGCCCGGCGGCGCTGCCGTGACGCGGCCCTGGACTTCAGGGAGGGGGTGCACGCGGCGGCCCACGCGGTGCTCAACGCGCTGCCGCTCTACATGGTGTGCAACCCCTCGGACGTGGCCACAGAGTGCGACAACCCCTACGACACGGTGGGCGCCGGGCGCCCGGGTGATGGCGTCACGGGGGCTATATATTTATATACATGTGCATGTGCACATCTACACGTATGCATGTATCATCTATACACAGGTGTATATGCTTCATGAAAGGAGGAGCCCAGCTGTTCCTGCAATTCTGTTGTGCCCCCTTCACGCAGCACCGTCCAACCATGCCAAGCACACAGCCGCACCCATGGACTCAAACCATTGACCTTGACGCCCGCCCCCTGCCTCACCCTCCCTTCCGGTGGCCCATGGCTGCAGCGCTACCGCCCCGAGCGCCTGCTGCTGTACGACAAGCACCCGGGAGGGATAGGGCTCGCGGCACAGGTGCGGGCTTGAGAGAGTGGCGGGCAGGGAGCGGCAGTGAGTGGTTCAATCCTCGGTGGGGTTGGGTTGGGTAGGGGTGGGGGGGTGCGGAGCGCGAACACGTAGCATGTTTGGGACACTCGTCGACCCGCACTGCCCTCATGGCCCCTAATCGCTGCTGGATTGTCTGATCCTCACCTGAGCGCCGGCACTCTAGTCCTGCCATCACTAAGAACCAATTCCCGCATCTCTCCAACATACCCCCTTGCCTTTTCTGGCAGGCGACCCCCCTGTTCCCCGAGCTGCTGAGGAGGGCCCTGGCGCTGGTGACGGAGTGCCCCTGCCCCTACCACCGCGGCTGCCCCGCCTGCGTGCAGCACCTGGACTGCAAGAACTACGTGAGCTGGCTTTCAATATCGGTGTTCAAAGCACACATGCAAGCGGTTTGTGGGGCGGCGCCGACTTCCAGTGTGCTGGGCTTTCCCAGGCATCATGATTGTTTGTGGGTGTGATGGCCGGGCACGAGTTGGGTTGGGGGTGAACGCCTGCGGGTCAGCAGGGGGGGGTGTAGGGTGTTTCAAGCCAAGTTGGGCCGTGTGATTTGCCTGCTGCTCTCTCGCAGTGCAAGGTGATATTGAGGATCTTGTACGGGAGGCGCGGCACCCGCCTTTCTCATGCCAGCTGGCATCATGCCACATCAAGACCTCTCAAGGGCCCCGCTGCCCAGGCGTCGTGTATAGCTTTTGGCACACGCACGGCTCCAAATCACCCCCCTCCTTTGAAACCCGACCTTTAGGACCCGCATCATGACCGGCCTCTCCCTCCATGCCTCACCGCCTTGTCCACAGAATGCGGTGCTGAGTAAGGCGGGGGCTGCGGTGGTGCTGAGGGCCGCGATAGAGCAGGAGGAGCGCCATGCCGCCGGCCACGGGCCACGAGAGGGCGGTGCCTGACAGGCTGCCATGCGGCGGCACCCATGGCGCGGGGCCGGTAGGCTCCCAGCTGAGGGGGTTGGGGCCGGCTCTGTCTCTCAACCCAGTTTATTTGGGTGTGCTGCTGATGGAATCTCGCCATGAGGCACACACGACGGCCTTATTCAGCAGCAGTAGCAGGCCCCTGTGGCTCCGATTGTCCTCTCTCTTCCTTCACCCCCTTTGTCTCTCCGCAGAGACGGTTCCAAGTTTGCCCTCTGTCATTAATCTTCAACTGGTTCAGGAATCTTAAAGTCTTTCTGTTTTACACCAAGTTGTTGGTTTGCATGTGCCTGGCTGTTTTTGTTTTTGGGGAGTTGGCGCTGGAGGCGAACAGAAATAAAAGCCATGGCAAGCATTGCTGCACTGAACTGATTGGTTGCTCCCTATCAGATGATGCGCTGGTCGGCGGAAGTGTCGGTTGTCGGCTGCGTGCGGCAAACAGTGCTTGTCTGCATGTGCCTGGCGTTGTTGGCCGCCATATAATTGCCAATCAGGGCGTGATGATTCCTGTGACAGCCAGGCGACTGCGCCTGGCTGTCACTGCCTGAGCTAGTGATGAAAAGGGTCAAGCCTACCTCTAGGCAGGCCTTCTGGGGAGCGAGGTCTGAAACTCGAGGACGTAAAGCTGAAACCGCCCCCGCCTGTGTGTGAGCCGGTCGCAACCTCCAGGGCTCAGGGTAGGGCCCGTGTGCCCGTCACCCGGCTGCCGTGCAGGCACCATGTGCCCTGCCAGGTTTGGGTTTTCGAACGCACGTCGGGAGAGGTGTGTGCAAGGCGGGTCGCCGGCGTGCGGGGTCAGCAGCCCTGGCGGCCTTCAAGGCCTGCACATATGGGATACAACAGTTGAATGATGGCCCAGACCAGGAGCTGCCTGGTTGCCACGGACCACCACAGAGGGGAAAAATGGTCACGCACACACTGCCTCTCAAAGCCAACCGCAGCTATGACAGAGCGCAGTGACAAAGGTCACCGGCAGCCAGCCGGTGCCCGTGCTTTGCGTCTCCAATGTGTAATTCGTGTAAGCATTTCACTGGCTCTTTGAATTAAATATTGACGCTGCCGGGCGCTCGCACGCGCTCAAGCGGCGGCGTGCTGCCAAAAGAAGCGGCGGGGTGTCTGATTGGCAAAATTATGGTGCACAAAAAGAGGGAGAGGGCGGTCAAGGGTCTGCGCCACAGATGTGTGGCTCAACAGCAAGGCATGTTGACCCTGGCATGCATGCCAGGCCTGGAACATGCCCCTTTGAAGCACAGAGTTGACTGCATCCGTCTCGGATGGCACTTGACTGCAGCGCACTTCGCTTCAGCAATCTGGCCGGTGGACGCGGGATGCAGGTGCTGCGTGGCTTGACAGCGATGTACAGCAAGGGGTGGTCAGGTGCTCTGCTGGCATCCACGCTCCTCCAACATGCCCTTGCCGAGGAGCCCAGCAGAAAGGGACTGTATGTATGCAGGAACGCAGACGCGCGTGGCAGTGCTAGTTGACTGTACTGGCAGGCCTGCTTCCGCAGCCGCGTGCACGCTGGCGTCCC